TCCTGTGTGCTCTGGTCAGATATATCCTTCTCCCGAAGCTACAGATTCAGTGCCATCCTTTGAGATACATTCTTCTCAGGGGAGGGGCAGGCATCCACTTAGTATTTGGGGCTGGGAGGATGTATGGATTGTTATAAGAGCTGTAAGAGTCTCCAATAAAATGATTTTTTTTAAAGGTGGTTATTGTAGAAAATTGTTAAGGCTTTTCCTAATCTACCAGTCTGGTTCTAGTTTACATTCTTGCTTTTTTTCTTAGGGAAATATTTCCCCCAAACATGCCTATCTTCTATCAAACTATTGTTTCTAAGTGCTATCAGATTTCCATTTCAATTGGTCTGCTAGCCACAAGGTCAGCAGTTCAAAACCACCAGCTATTCCTTAGATGAAACTTTCTCCTCCCATAAAGATTTACAATCTGAGAAACTCACAGGGTCAGTTCTACTTTGTCCTGTAGGGTCCATATGAGTTGGAATCAACTCAGTAGCAGTGAGCTTGGCTTTTTTTCTTCTTTTTTTGTAAAAGGTTGACAAAAAATAAAAAGGCTTTTGAAGAGATGGGTGGACTCACTGGCTGCAACAATGGCCTCAAACATAACAACAGTTGTAAGGGTCATGAAAGACCAGGCAGTGTTTTGTTCTGGTCTGCACAGGGCTACTATGAGTCAGAGCCACTAGAAGGTCCCTACCAACCACAAGTCCAGCATTCTCATTCCAAAATAGTCATTTCTTTAAATGATAGGAATTGATGAAGAATAGCCAAACTATGCATGAAGTTTAATTGCTATAAGATGGCTATAGCAACACTCCCACTGATTAACATTTCTTGAGAAAGGTTGGGCATACTTATCAACCAATTAGAATCCTGCAATTAAAAGAAGAAAGTGCATGATGCTGAGGAGATAGAATCAATAAGTAACTACCATATTATCCCTAGGAAAGTTGACAGGGCTGCTTCCAATCAATCTATTTGCAGGCTAGAAATGGATGTATCCTTGACACGGCTCGATAGTTGAGATTTGAGATGGAGACAGGATTTAAAACGTTTGAGAAAATTGTTTTGAAAACTGCAGTGACACAGTCCTAAGTGAAGGGAATGAGCTGTAACTCATCACAGATGTCAAAGAAAAGACTTTCAAGAGACACATGTCTAGCACTTGAATGTTTGCCTTTTCTATTTACCCTGTTTTTTGGCTTGCAGTTCTGCTCTTGAGCTTGAGCTCTCGCTCTACCTTTCATTTACGCATACTATATTAATGTTGTCTTTTTTAAAACTTCGTATTATGAATTAAGGAACCCTAGTGCCATAGTGGTTACACATTGGGCCTTGATCCACATGGTCAGTAGTTCGAAACCACCAGCACCTCCATGGGAGAAAAACAGGGCTTTCTACTCCCCAAAACAGTTACTATCAGACATGAGACTGAAAAAGCATCAAGCCATATGTCAAATATCGATATTTTACTTGTGGGGTTTAAAATTTAGAAATGGATAGTCTAAATGGTTAACTCCTTCTCAAATGAATTGAGAAGCCCTGTTCTTGTTCACCTCATCATTGGAACTAGATGTCCTCAGGAATCCCTGGGTGGTACCGAGTTAAGGGCTTCACTATTAATGGAAAGTTAGCAGTTCAAACCCACCCAGCGGCACCTCGGAAGACAGACCTAGCAATCTGCTTCTAAAAGACCACAGCCTTGAGAACCCTGTAGGAGCTCCACGAGTCAGAGGCAATTACCCATTACAACAAATGCCCCAACGGGGGCAATCTTGCTTCCCTAAGCCTTCCTTTTCAACACGCTGCCATTCGACAATCAAAGGTAATCAATTACGGAGATGATGTCTAACTCATTTCTTTCTTTAATAAATATTCATTGGACGCTCACTGCATGGCACACACTGGGAATAACAGGGGCCAAAATAGACAAGTGTCTATATTCATGGTGAAGGAAGCATAAAAGATGTCAGCACAAACTATTTGAAGCACCATGAAATGTGGCTTTCGCGGGCTGATTTTCCAAAATAGATCACCAAACCTTTATTCCTAGTCCATCTTCGTCTGGATGTCCTGCTGAAACCTGCTCAGCATCCTGGCAACACACAAGCCTCCATACCAGATGAAGCCTATTGGCGAGGCATTCAAGCTGGGGATCCCACATGGCAGGCAAGAATTCGACCCCAATTTAAGCCTCTGATGAACCCTGACTACAGACCAGGGATATGATGAGCCTTGCTATCACGCAGTGTGCATATGAAAGAGAATTTTTGCAGATGCAGTTAGTTTAAAACCTTATCATTTGATTTCCCTTTTGACCTATTTTAAATTTGGTCTACTTTTTAATATTTTCTACTTTCTTTTCAATTTTTTTTCCCTCTATTTTACTTTGTTATTGTAGTTATTCTCTCTCTCTCTGTCTTTAATATGTTTTTCTGTATATGAAATCCAGGATAGGTAAATCAATAGAGACAGTAACTGGATTAATGGTTTCTTAGGGGTATGACAGGGGAGGTGGGGGGAAATGGGGAGCTAATAACATTGAGTACAAAAAAGAAGAAAATGTTCCAAAATTAATTGTGGTGATGATTGCACAACTCTTCTTAATATGATTGAACTATTGAAGTGCATAAAATGTAGATTATATGCCAATAACACTGTAAAAAATTCTACCATGGAACCACCACTGCCTCCATACTGGATGAGAAAAACTCTAGGACAAGTAAATTAGGGTTAGAATGAGAATCAAGGGTTCAAACTGAGTCACGATGAGTTGGAGATTTTGTAAAACTTCAAGTGGAGATGGCAAGTTGGCAATGGTATATCTAAGCTTGGTGTTCAGGGAAAAGGAATGGGCCCGAGATACAAATTGGAGAGTCATCACTATAGGTAGCATTTAAAGCCATGTGCCTGGAAGGAATTAGGGAGGACTTGAGTGTATACAAAGAGAAGAGGACCAGACATTCAGAGATTAGAGGAACAGGATATAACAGAGCAGAGTTTCATAAGTGAATGTCACTTTGTTAAAGAAATTGTGTTGTAAGAGCCCCCAATGATTAATGAAAATAATAATATTTTTAAATAAATTGTGTAAAATACTGCTGAGATATTAAGCAGGAGTGTAAAGGTTTCTGTTAGATTTGTCAACACAGAAGTCTTTGGAGACATTGATGAGAAGAATTGACAATGAACTGGTAGACACTCCAAGGAAGGCAGTTACCTGACAGCCTCCAGCTGCAGTGCTTTGGCATCCACTGCAGCCTCTGAGCCAAAGCCACGCTCTTCCCAGGCAGCCTTCAGCCAAGGGCTGGGCACAATGAGGATCCTAGGGTCTGGCTACTTGTGTTCAGTGCAGGATGCCTCTCAAGGGCAATCTTGGTTCCAGAGCTCCAATTGGATTGGCCAAGACTTGGTCAGATCTGTGTTTCAACTTGGGGCTCTCCCTTCCCAATTCTGCTGTCTCTCCCCTTTCTGTTCACAAGTCCAATCTGCATCCTGGTCTGAGCCATTGCCTTCCCATTCCTGCTCTTTCCCCTTCTTGTATTTCACAGGCAATATCCCCAATAAAAGGTGCTGTGGATTAGGCTGTTAACTGAAAGGCCGATAGTTCAAACTCACCAGCCACTCCATGGGAGAAAGATCAGACCATATACTACCATAAAGATTTGCAGTTTCAGAAAACCCCATATGGGGTCAATATGAGTCAGAACATAATCAGTGTCGGTGGGTTTGGTTTCTGTTTATCCCCAATTAGAGTCCCCGAGTCTCTAGAGACCTCATCCTAGGTGGTTTGTGAGACACAGGTAGTCCCTGGTATAAGCTGGTAACCCAATTGCTAAAACTATCACTGGTGGTTCCTTGAAACACTGTTCTGATGAGAAACAAAAATGCTCTGGTGAATTCAATGAAAAGTACAATAACAAGGACTTTGAAGACTGTGATGAGGCCAGGGCTGGGGAAAGGAGGGAAAGGGAGGACAGGGAGGGCAGGTGGGAAAAGAAAAAAAGAAGAAGAAAGAACCACATATACAGGGCATTTATTGGGACACTGTCACTGTTTTCGATGAGATGGGTTGTGCAACTACATTTCGTTTTTTCTTTGTATGTGTTATATTCTACAAATAAGGAAAATAATAATAACGAATAATTTTTTTAAGACAAGGGTCACAGTCTTATAAACCCTCCAGATCCCTTACTCATCAGAACTAAACATTGGTCAGAGTGGTTATAAAAGGTGGAAAAGGAAAATTGAAACTGACTTCAATTCTTTTGTGACACACAAGCTAGCCTCACATGAAAAAAAGAAAGAACAAGATGTATAATTACAAAGACAGTAAAATTGGCTATAAAATTGTGTTGGCAACAACCTATGGAGGACTCCTGAAACTGCTGAGGGCAATCAACAGTTGAAAATGCTATCTGAAGGCTACAGAGTCTCTTCAGTAACTTATCAAAAAAGATTCTGATCTCCTTCAATGGAAGAGCAAAAAAGCCCAAAAGACCAAACGCAGAACTTAATACTTACAGCTATCAAGCTTCACATCTCCTCGAAGAAATAAATGGCCATTTAACTGTGAAGAGTGCTGTCAGGAGACAGCGTCCAGCTCTAGCACCTTCTAGGATGGCCACCACATTCTCAACAAAGCCGTGCTTTCCCTGCCAGCCCCAACCAATGACTAAGCATAATGGGAGTACTGAAACTGGGTTATTTCTTCTCAGTGTAGGTGCCCTCTCATTTTTTGAGTTTTTGCTCAAAACTCCCCATTGCATTGACCAAGGCGATGTCACATCTGCCTTGAGGTCTACGGCATTTCTGCCCAATTCTGCCTCTTCTCACCTCTCCTTACATATATGTCAGATCTACATTATGCTTCTTGCTCCCTGCCCCTTTATCTATCGTAGGCAGTATCCCCAATCGATTGCTTGCACTCTCATTTCCATATTAGCATCTGCTTCCTGGTGGACCCAAATTGGCACAATTAACCACTCATCACTGTCATTCTTCCACCATGGGAAATCCCTTCCAAGACGTTTAATTAAGCATTTCAAGAGTCTCTTCATTAGGATCAAAATATTTTAGCCAACTCTTCAGTTGAATTCACAGCTAGGTAATCCAGCCAATGAAAACCATATCACATCACAACCTCACACACTACGTCAAAGTATGCGCACTGCAGATCTAGTTTTTGCAAGCCTTACATTCAGTTTATCTTGCATGGTAGGACATGGATGAAGCTTGCCAGAAAGCATAAATTTGAGTGATTCAGAACCAATTCTATGTTTACAATAATTCAGATGGAAAGTTTTGTTGCTAGGGGAGGTAGTTAAAAAAATTCTCAAGCCAGTCAGGGTGCAATATAGCACCATTGAAACATACAACTTTCCTCTAGTTCCTAAATGCTTCCTCCCCTCTACTATCATGTCCTCAATTCTACCTTACAAATCAGGCTTGATCAGAGCATGTACACAGGTACAGATAAGAGCTGGAAACACAGGGAATCCAAGACAGATAACCCCTCAGGACCGATATTGAGAATAGCCATAGCAGGAGAGGAAGTGGGGGGAGAAAGGGGAAACCAATCACAATGATCTACATATAAAGCCCTCCCAGGAGGGCAGACAACAGAAAACTGGGTGAAAGGAGACATCGGTCAATATAAGACATGAAAAAATAATAATAATTATAAATTATCAAGGGTTCATAAGGGAGGGGGGGCAGGGAAAAATGAGGAGCTGATACCAAGGGCTCAAGTAGAAAGAAAATGTTTTGAAAATGATAATGGCAACAAATGTACAAATGTGCTTGACACAATGGATCTATGTATGGATTGTGATAAGAATTGTACCAGCCCCCAATAAAAGGATTTTTAAAAAATCTTCAGAAAGACAAAATTTTTCTGGAAACTCAACTAATCAAATGATGGATTTTTCTTATCAAGGTCTTATCAAAACTCAAAGTCACTACCATGGAGTCGATTCTGATTCCTAGTGAGCCTATAGGACAGGTTAGAATTGTCTCTGTGGCTTTCCAAAATGGTAATTCTCTACAGGAGTAGAAAGCCTCATTTTTCTCCCACAGAGCTACTGATGATTTCTAACTCCTGATCTTGAGGTTAGCAACCCCATGAGTAACACTACCCCACCAGGACTCCTACTCCTTGAGCAAAGGTAGCTATTAATAGTCATTGTTCATCTTTTCATGAAGACGAGACAAAAAGTCCTTATGATAACTGATGAGCATTGAGTGCTTCTCTTAAACCTTTATGAGTAGTTCAGATGGAGGGGGGCTTTCTGGGAAAAACAGTGAGTAGATAGATGTGCTTGGGTAGACTAGACTCAGGTGTAATAGCAAATCAAGGCTGAAACTTCAGTGACTTAACACAAAAGTTTCTCTCTCACTCACACAAAGTCTCGTAAGCTTGTTCCTCATCAGGAAGCTCTCCTGAGTGCTTTTCCTTCAAGTGCTGAACTCGGGGTTCCAGATTCCTTGCATTGGCCTTGGTCATTTATAAATTGTTTGCTTCTACTTGTATCAACAGCAAAGAGATTTCGCATTAAGAAAAATCATGAGGGTTGTTTTGGGGGGCCAGGCCTGGAAATGGCATTTACCAATCCCACCACATTTCATGAGCCAGAAGAAAACTGCCTGGCTCCACTTAGCTAAAAGGAAAGCTTGGAAGTGTTGGGGAGCACGTGGATATTGGTGCACCAGTTCTGCTCTAGCAGGTTTTGCTTGTGGTGTAACAACTCGGGCACAGGAAAGAAGCTAGAAGGAAAAGAGTCAATGAGTCCTGTGCGGAAGTGATCCCAGAGCAGGCTCCATGCATACAATAGCCCAATTAGGGGGTGTGTTCCTACAGGGAGGATGGGTAATTCTTAACGAATTCCCCTTGTTGCAATATTATTCTCTACATTAATTTCTCATTATAAGGTTCAGCAAGAGCAGGGAGAGGGAGTCTTTTTTCTGCTAAGAGCCATTGAGATAACTATAACATCATTCACGAGCCATTCAAATTTATCAACTTAACAATTAGCCTGCTATATTTGGTTAAACATTTAAGGAACTCAGCCCTAATGTGATAGCTGGAGATGCTCATCTTTGGTGAGGCAGGTGATATTAATAATTTTGTGGGCCTTATACAGCCCGTGGGCTGGATATTCCCTACCCTTGGCCCACAGGGATGAGAATGCCCTGATTATTCAACATGAGTTTCCAGACCTGCTTAGCAAAATATTTCTCACTGTCAGTTAATAAGCAGACATTCTAATCCATACATCAGTGTCTTATGAGTTGTATCACTCATCCATTCATTAATAGGGTCAACAAATATTTATCAAGTACCTACTAACTACTTTATTATGTGCCATGGCACTGTTCTAGGTGCCAGAAATATAAAAGTATATAAAACCGAATGTAATTCATGTCACTCAATTGCATGCTTAAAAATACCTAAGATGGCAAATTTTTCGTTAAATATATTTCACGATAATAATACTAAAATCAAAAATAAAACTATACAAGACAGAAAAAAAAACCAGCCCTCATGGGTTCGAACTATAAGCCCCCCTCCCCCAAAAAAAGGCTTTTCCATTTAAACCACTATGCCACCAGGGCTCCTACCTTTTGTTACAAGAAGCATGTAAAAATGTATATAATTTTGCTAATGGAATCAGACCTGTTCTTCATTCTTTTCTATTTTGTTTTCCATTGAACTCATCATAGGCCAGTAGCTATAAATAGCACTTGAAAGTGACAATGTATATGGAGATAAACCACCGCCGATGTAATAATAGGATACATAAACTTATTAATTACTACATTGTAATTACAAAATACTAGGAAAACCTGAAGTTCATACAGGGGAGAAGGATTGCATAAGCTGTGGCACATCCTCACAGTGCAATGTTGTGCAACTGAAAAAAGGGAAAAAGATCTTTGTGTGCTGCTTGGTCCTGTATGACTTTCGGACTAATTAATTAAAAACTCCAAACTCATTGCCATCCAGTCAATTCTGAGTCATAGCTACTCTATAGGACAACAGAGAACTGCCCCTGTTGCCCCTGGGGTTTATGAGACAGTAACTCTTGACCAGAGTACAAACTCTTATCTTTCTCCAGAGGAGCAGTTGGTATTTTCAAATTGCTGACCTTACTGTTAGCAGCCTAACACTTCACCCACTCTAGCACTAGGACTCCTTTCCAGACAAATTATAAGCTGAAAAATAAAATTGCCAAGCCTTTCATGTAATAAACAAAGGCAAACTCAGGTTTCCACAAAAACTTGTACATGAATGTTCACAGCAGCTCTTTTGTAGTAGTCCAAACAGTCTTCAAAAGGTGAATGAATAAACAAATTCAGAGTTCATCCACACAATGGAATACTACTCAGCAATGAAAAGTAATATGATTAAAGCTCAAAGGCATTATGAGGAATGAAAGAAGCCAATCTCAAAAGGTTGCATGGGATTGAATTGTGTCTCCCCCATATATGTGTCAACTAGGCTAGACCAGGATTCTCAATATTGTGTGTTTGCCTTCCATTTTGTGATCTGAAGTAACTGTCTTCCATGTTGGGAAATGTGGTAAATCTTGACCTCTTTGCTTTAATGAGGCCAAACCAAAAAAAAAAAAAAAAAGCTAGTTGCCATCGAGTCAATGCTGACTCACAGTGACCCCTTGTGGGTTTCTGAGAATATAACTGTTTACGGGAGTAGAAAGCCCAATCTTTCACCCACATTGCTGCTGGTGATTTCAGACTACCAACCATGTGCATGGCAACCCAACTCTTAACCAAGGCACCACCAGGACTCCTTTTTAATGAGGCAGGGCTACATTATGCTAATGAGAATTAGGTTGTGCTTGTTAAACTAATGAAGCAGGATTGGAGTGAGATGCAACAGCTTTACTCGGGTCTCGGCTCAGATTTTGTGGGGTGTGGCTACATCACCTTTTCTCTTACAAGAGATGAGAGGGGAGAGTAGTGAGCAGAGTGAGAAGGGCCCTACTACCACCAAGAAAAAAAGAGCTAGGAGTGGTGTGCATCCTTTGGCCTCTGGGTCCCTGTAATGGGAAGCTCCTACACCCAGGGAGAAAATGATGCCAAGACAGATGGAGAACACCCCTGGCCCACAGATGTTGAAAGTAGACAGGCGCCTTCCTCCAGAGCTCGCAGAAAGAGAAAGTCTTCCGCCAGGCCAGTGCCCTGAATCCAGGCTTAGAACCTCCTAAACTTTGAGAGAATAAATGTCTATTTGTTAAAGCCACTCACTTGTGGTAACTCTGTTACAGCAGCCCTAGAT